TTTTCTGATTTCATACAAACGTGGATTGTTGTGTTTATAAATCATTAAACTTAGATAGATTATCATAGGCGAGCATTGGGACAATGAAATACGGGAAAAATAATCGTTTTGGACGTTTTGGTTCAGCCTTTTTTCACGATCATCCTATTGTATGGAAGTGCGTATGTCAGCAGCAGTCACATGTGCTTCACATGTGTTTCCAGACTGTTGTTACTGGTTGTTACCAACGTCTCAACAGAAATTCCCTGCGAATCCCTGTCATTAGGCTCCGCTACGGATTTGGTCTCGACCTACAATGGGCCCGGCTTTCACATCATTAGGCTCTGACTCGTGAACCCATTTTTTGGTCGTCGCTTATATAGTCCGGGACCAGCGTCTGGTCGCGGACTATGAAGTCCCGAGCTCGTGAACCGCCCCTTAGACCTGGTTTTCTGTATTCATTAAGAAATTGCACTGCCTTAAGATGCATTTCACTTTTTTCATGTTTTCTGAATTTTTCAAGTGCCTTTTTCCAATTGTTCACACCAACTTTAGTAAATGATTCCTCTCCCCGCCCAGACTTATGGTGGCAAAACAATCGGCATGGATAACAAAATGCAGCATCCAAAATAGGGCTGTATTCAACCCAAGAAAATTCATTGTACCAAGTTTTTTTGAATTGCCTTGATTTAGAATTAACTTTGCTTACCTTGAAGCAATCAACAGGCTGAAATGGACCTTTTGTAATGTGGCATCGCTGTGTTTATGCGGTAAAGATGGCGACTTACCGGGACAGTCATCCGCACTACTACTTTGAGCTAAATGTTTATCTCCTTGCTCACTTGACTCAACAGTTACACTTGACTTAACACTTTTTTTAAAAAAAGACAGCACCGAAGATTGTTTAGACATGTCAACAGTAAAAGATAGATATGTCCAGTCACCATTCAAGTTAAACTGTGCAAAACAGGTGCAGTGACGAAACGAGAACCTATAAGTTGACGGTTGCTCTCTCTGCCTGTACTGTGTGGAGGGGTGGGGATGACAGATTAGATACACAGTGCACAGGTTGACCAACCTTTGCCCAGCCAAAGAATAAAAAGACGCCGCCTATTCAACGAATGGACAATTTCAACACTTAATCCGAACTCTTTGTTTACCAAATGATTCCAATATTGAAATTAATGTAATAATGATTAAGTATAAAAACAGAAAGGATTGTAACCAACTATTAATACGGTAAAAAACTTAACTCTTTCTTTATATGAATAACTTATTGTGAGTGCCACTTTAGAAAAAATTTTTTATTTGGATTTTTATTGTAGGTTTTCTAAAAAAAAAAAGATAGCTATTTAAGTTGGGGGGGCACGGGCCCCCCCGTGCCCCCCCCGGCGTGACGCCTCTGAATGTCAACCCTTATTATGTCTTTTGTTTTCATTTTTATCCAAATGCAGAATTTGTGTCGCAAACGCTGAATGTTTACAGCTGTTATGTTAAGCAATTATATCACACCAAAAGCTAGTTTAGAATTTTAGCGTCGGCTGCTAGACTTAAAAAAAAATAAAACTTAATTTCTAAAAAAAGAGACCCTAAACTAAAATTATGGCTTCGACATTCCGTAGTTCTTAAAATTATCTTTCTTTCAACACAAAAATCATGAAAATCTGTCAAGTGATTGATTCAGAATCGTGAAATAAAAAAACCCTGTCACGTTTTAATATTATAGATGAGTTTATAGTTGATTTTTCAGTATAAATGATAATAATATAATTTTTGGTCCTTTTTTGTTTTTTTTTTTACCAGTCCATGGTCATGTATATGCGACCGTGGACTTAAGAAGGGGTGATGAACTTAACATTTTACAAAAAAAAAAACTTTATTACCCTCCTAGTAGCAGCATGCCTAACTTGTTAAACCTAGTGTTATGGTAATACACAACCAATCTGATATGTTTAATGAAATATTTAATTGAAAATCCAATCAGGTAAAATGGAAGCAGGTTTGCTGCCATGGGGGTTTTGTTTACTGTCATCTTAAAATAAACAACTGTATTTACAAAATAAATTTCTTAAAATAATCGACAATTGTATTCTTTATCTTCACAGTTGTTGCCGGTACAATGACCCAGGTGGAGGTCACAAACCATGGTAATATTGGTAATGTCCACTTTTCAGGGCTACTGTAATTTATATCTATGGTAAGATAAACCAAAGTAAATTTCCTTTGACTTAGTCAGTAAAAATCATTATAAACAATAACTATACAGGGAACTATATGGTTTTTCTTTTCTATATGTGAATATGATAACTCGAACAATTGAGGTTTGATTTTAGCGAATTTCCCATATAGGGAATAAGCTATTACCGTAGTACTCATGGTAAGACCTGGACCCGGGACCGATATAATTTTTTGTTTTGAGGTCCCTAGAGGCCAAAAACACCATCCGTTCAAATTCATATAGATTTATATTTATATATATATGTGGGTGTGTCCGTTAGCGCGATAACTCGAGCAAAAATTATACGATTTTGATGAAATTTGGTACAAACGTGTAAACCTACGTTTATTCAAACGAGTTCGCGAACCAGCATAATCGGACCATGGGAACGGGGGTTTATGGGGGGTAACGTTTTTGTAGAGCTTAAAAAAAGAAATAATTTAGTATACTGAAGCCTTGTTGTATGCCTAACGGTCATAGAGAAAATTCAAAAATAGTGTAATTTAAATTTCCCATGTTATTCTTATGGAGAAAATGAAAACTGTTGTGGTTTACTTGTTTATGGATATATGTTGATAAAATTTGGCAAATTTATTTATTTCATCCTTTACTATTGACGTATGATCAAAACACACGTTTTACCTTCCCCATAGCAGCAAACCTAAGCACTTGTTAAATCTAATGTTTTTTAAATTGGGAAAAATATGTCTTATTCATGGAAATGTTTGAGTAATAATGTAATCAGACAAATTGAAATTCGCTTAGTCTGCAGGTTTGCTGCGGCGGGGGTATTGATGAAATTTGCATGAATGTTTTGGGCTGGATACACTTGAATGGGTTCTTGAACTAGCAAGAAAGGGTCATAAGAACAAAGTGTTACAAATTAGTTATTGACTAGGTCAACAATCTGTAGGTGGCTCACGTCAACGACAGTTTTGATTTTAAAACCGTCGGATTTAATAACATGGGGATTGGATGTCTAGTTGTATCAATAGTCAAATACAGTCTAACCTTGATATAACGAACCTCGATATAACGAATTCCTTGATATAACGAATTTTTTTTAATCCCCTAGAACCCTCCATAAGACACAATGTATATTTTACCTCTGAACAAACCATATTAACAACCTTGATTTAACGAATTTTTCGTGATTTCGGCTAAAATAAGACACCTCAATATAACGAATTTATCATTGTCAGAACCTCTACATTGCGAATTTAACCTCTGCATAACGAATTGTCTACGTCTTTCCCTCGATATTACAAATCCCCCACCCCATTATTTTTGAAAAATCTGTTTCTTTATAAAATTAAATGGAAAGGTCACGTCATCGCTTGCGCTAACATTCGTCTGCTCCGTACACATCTCTGTCTACTGTCGCTGCGCGCGCTATGTTGCAACTGAGAACTGATTTCATTCACCGAGGACTGATGACGACGTAATGTTTAGTAAGCTGTGATTGGGCGATAAGTAACTATGATGAATTGTACAATTTTTGGATAAAGAGAAACCTAAGAAAGGATATAAAAACAAGAGCAAAGAGAAAGAATAGCAACATCGTTATATTAACATTCCTTTTACGAGTGTTTTGTTGGCTATGATTATACACTTTTATGACTTATCTAATAATTTATTGTTTTCAATACGATTTGTTTCAACTAGCAACACCAATGCTATAGTTAATGATTATTATTGACATTCCTCTGTTGTGATAAATCAGTACTGTACTGTAAGTAGCCTACCGGCCTATCACGAGCATTAGCTTACAAAACTTTCTACTGTTTGTTTTGTTCTTTACATGGTTTAAGACTACGCAATACAGTGTTTGGCTAGGTTTTAGGAGGGTTAGAACAAGCTGTGATTTTAAACTTACAGTTGTTAACCTGTACCAAGGTCAATGCCATTTTCATGATTGCGCAATATTCAAGATCCCTCCCCTTTATTATGCCGGATAATTTAGGTTCTACTGTACAATGTAAACACTGTACTGTAAAGTATTGTAGCCTATGCTACTTTAATTGTATTTTAATGAGGTCAAATCCCGACCTATATTGACCGACGCTGGTTCTGAACCTCGACTTAGCGAAATTTCTGCAAACCTAACCTCTATATAACGAACCTCTTTTTAACGAAATCCTTGATATAACGAATATTCAGTTCGGTCCCTTCAGATTCGTTATACTGAGGTTGGACTGTATAGTAGGCCTATACTGTACAGAATACACCATACAGAGACTGTATCACATCAACTAACCACATTAGGCCTTTAAAACCCTAAATTATTTTAGAACCTTAAAACCAAAACCATAAAGTGAAGTTTCATGCACTTAAATAACTGACAGACCAATCATAACATAAAAAGTTTTTTGTTGGTTGGAGAGTTAAAAAAAAAAACACAATTCCAATGCAATTACAACATCTCTGGAAGACTCTAGACAAATAATATTCTTTTCTTACCTAAAATAACAACATACAAAACAATGCAATTAATATTATATACTGCATTTACACGATGCCAGTAAAGCAGGCAGATTAAAGGGCAGGATAGTTGCCTCTAATGTATTTCAAGTTACCTGAGGCAAGTAACCTGCTCGCCAACTAGCCTCGTGTAAATACGGCTTAAGAAACACCAGAATATTACAAGTCATCTAGCTGAATCTGCATGGCAATACAAGTTCTGCCTACAACTGCTATGACCTTGGTTTAATCTTTTCATTGACCTACATTCATCTATATTGATTGGCACACAATTGTAAATAAGAGTATCTATATTAGTATAAGCCTTAATGCTAAGTTGTACCTTGGTATGTCTCTTTCTCTTCACAACTCTCTTGAGATTCATTTTCATGAGCCAAACTAAGTTCTCCAAGTTGTATGTCTATTGACTGGTCATTTGACACATTTCCCTCATCCTTTCCCTCTTCTTCATGCACTTGTAAAAACTCTTGCATAGGTGCTGTGTTCAATTTTTGGTTGACTGCCTTAACACCATTGGGAATTGGAGTTCCATATAAAGCTGGTCTTGTTGAAACTTGTCTAAAAAGTTAAAAATTTGACTGATTATTTGAAATCACAAAAATCTATATGCTCTATCTTGTTAACGAATTTCCCTATAGGGAAGTAGACCTGGGACCGGGATCGATTTACTTCCTCATTTTCATGTCCCCAGAGGCCAAAAACACTATTTGTTCAAATTTATATATACAATTTATATGTACTGTACCGGTATATATATATGTGTGTGTTCGTGAACGCGATAACTTGAGTAATTTTTGTCCGATTTTGATGAAATTTGGTTTAAAGGTTTAAGAGTTAAGAGTTGGATAAACTTGAATGAGTTCGCGAACCAGCATGATCGGACCATGGGAATGGGGTTTTACGGGGGGTTTTATGGGGTAAAAATTGGTTTTTCTTATTTTTGACTCTCAAAACTTAAAATTTCTCAATTTCTCTCAAGACCTTTTTAAAGAGCTTAAAAAACCAACAATTTTGTATACCAAAGTGTTTTTTTACAATAATTGGTAACGGAGGAAATTCAAAAAATTGTAAATTTAAAATTCCCATGTTATTCTTATGGAGAATCCTTATATATAATTCTGTGAGTCCCCAGGGACTTGGATAAAATAGCAGAATTCCCATAAAGTTGCCAGAAAAGGAGATATGACGTAGAATGTTCTCCATAAGAATAGTATTAGAAACCATTTACTGCTGGTTTTTGTTTACTTCAACACAGATGATCGTGATTTATCATCGAGCAAGTACGCAATGTTAACATTTAGATTACTTATTTGCCAGTCAATTCTGCAAAGTACTAGGCCTATATAAAACCAAGGATAAGGTTACCTATAATAATTAAGACTTTTTAGTTAGGTTATAGAATGTGGAAATAGATTATTTTACTGTAAAAAATTTAAATTTGTGTATTTTTAACGTTTAACATGAAATAACCACATTGACTAAATAATTAACAATTCAAGATTAAATGGAAAACTTCTGCTTTGTTTTTATTTCAAAACATATGTTCTAAATTTATTCTACACTTTCTATTTTTTTTATTTGAGATTTATTGTATTGTTTGATAAGTATTTTGTATGAAGTGGAATAACCTCAACAGCTACTCTAAGAAAATAACCTGGGAATAAAGATGGAATAGGTGTACAAGAAATATATACAGGGTTAGTAAAAAGTGTGGAGACCCCCTGTTATTTTTTTAACGGCCCATACTAGAAAAACTAAACTCGGCACACCATTATGGCATGTTATTAAGTACTTTTTGGGCACAACCGCCACTTGGTGTTCACCCCCAAACTGGGCAATTTTGGGGTAAACTAAAAAATTTCAAATACAAAGACCCATCGAGTGACCCCTCATTTTGAAGGTCCTGGTAAAAGAAAACCAACAACGCAAACTAGAGGTCTCTATCTCAGCTCAGTACAAAATGGCAGCCAATTGAAATTCTCATAAGTTCCCAAACCCAAAATGGGGGATTTTGGGGGAAACTCAAAAATTTTCAATGATAAGCCCCATCGAGTGACCCCTCATTTTGAAGGCCATAATAAAAGAAAACTAACAACGCTAACTATAGGTATCTATCTTAACACAGTAAAATATGGCAGCCAATTGAATATAAAATTGCAAGTTATTTCCAATTTCTAAAGATTTCAATCAGCTTCCATTTTTTACTGGATTGAGATAGAAACCTCTAGTTTGCGTTTTTGGTTTTCTTTTACCAGGACCTTCAAAATGAGGGATCACTTGATGGGGCTTATCATTTAAAACTTTTGAGTTTCCCCCAAAATCCCCCATTTTGGGTTTGGTAAGCAAGTGGCTATTATGCTTAAAAAGTACTTCATAACATGCCAAAAAGGTGTGTAGAGTTCAGTTTTCCTAGTGTGAGCCGCTACAAAATTTACAGGTGGTCTCCAGACTTGGAAAGCTGCAAGTTAAATTCAATTTCTGAGAATTTCAATTGGCTGCCATTTTTTACTGGATTGAGATAAATACCTCTAACTTGCGTTTTTGGTTTTCTTTTACCAGGACCTTCAAAATGAGGGGTCACTCGGTAGGTCTTTGTATTTGAAATTTTTGAGTTTCCCCCAAAATCCCCCATTTTGGGGATGTACACCAAGTGACGGTTATGCCCAAAAAGTACTTCATAACATGCCATAAAGGTGTGCCGAGTTTAGTTTTTCTAGTATGGGCCGTTAAAAAAATAACAGGGGGTCTCCACACTTTTTACTAACCCTGTATAATTGTTAATTAAGTAAGTACTATGACAAGTTCCCAATATTGTTTGGAGATTTTAAACAGGTACTGTACTGTCTGTTGCTCACAAAAGAGTTAAGAATCAGCCGATGATTAGGCCTAATTTGATAGAATATGAATCGTCAATCGCATCTTTAGGAGGAATACCACCACATAAACTTACACTAATTGTAGTTTTTTTATGTTGAACAGAAAAAATCTAGGGTTAAGTTAGGTCAATGAGATGCCCTTACACTACTGTAATGTTGTTAAACCTTAACAAAAGGAGTATAAACTTAGAAATATTAACTGGGTCTGGGTAGGGATGCTAATTTAGCGGGTTTGGCCAAGAGCTAAGCATACCTCAACAGACCTTTATTTCCCTTTTCATATTTGACGAAGACAATTTCCAAAATTCCAATCAGGGAAGTCTTTTTTATCACCACTAACCACAATACCAAAGCTACCTTAATAAACCAGTATTTATTCACAAGCAATTATATTTTTGCTGCCTTTAGCAGTGTTAAACCTATGCAGTTATTCGAATGATTTATTGAAAATAACATCAACAAAGGCAAACCAAAACAAACAACAAACTGTTTTTTACACAAAAGATATGGCGTACAGAGATATCTATTCTGACACATAAATAATATATTTCTTAGTTTGTTTAACTCTAGCAGTGGCCAACAAGCGTATTACACTCACTCGCCGTGACGCCTTAGAATGGCCACCAGCGTAATACGCTAGTATGGGCCGAAAGTTCTTTAACGGTGAAAAAACCGCTTATAATCAACTCTGATGTGAACAATCTATATATTAATTTGAAACTGTTTTTCTTTGTGACGCTATTTTGAGAGAACGGCTGGGCGTAGAAACTCGGTAGAGGTGTCTAAAGAAAGGTCCTGGTCTGTAGATGAGCCATCAAAAGAGAAACATGGAGAATTCCCTCGGGGCTCTGCCCCAGTGGCCTTTAAATTCCCATCCCATGTTATTCTTATGGAGGAAAACGAGGTTTTTGTCACAGCTAATTTGAGAGAACCGCTGGGCATAGAAACTTGGTAGGGATGTCTAAAGAAAGGTATTGGTCTGTAGGTGAGCCCTCAAAAGAGAAACGATGTAAATTTCCTTGGGGCTCTGCCCCAGAGGCCTTTAAAGTTCACTCTGCAATTTTGTTTACATTTCGACCATATGGATAATTTTACACTACTTTTAATGAACCAGCTGTTAATATTAAAATTGTTTACTGAAACTGTTAAAATTAAATGTTTACATTATTATTTATGATTTTAAATGGATTCTCCACTGCATGGCAAGTTATAGTTTCAACAAAATGATGAATTTATGATACGTTTGAAATGTTTTGTTTAAAAATCTATGCTTTATTGCTCTTAGAAAATTTTAAATTATGAAATAAGTGTGACTTATCAATTTCAAAGGAACATATAACTATTCCTTATCGGGTTAGCTTATATATATTGTAAGGTTGGCACTTGCCTTTTTTCCTACTTTCAATCACCATTTATTTATAATTTCAAGAAAGAACACCTGAGATTCATTTATTGGTATAACAGTTTTTGATAATCGGGTTGAAAATTGTGTCATAGATGAGTACGTTGAGGATGGGAGCTGTGTTCAAGTTTTGGAATAGACTAACTACGGAGTCTATGGTTTTGGTAAAGTAGGTGAACTAATGTCAATTCAGGTATTTAAAAAAAATGTGTACACAGTTTTTACTTTGATGTACACATGTAGCTAGGTTGAACAACGCATCTAAACCTCACTACATACAAAACATTCGGAAACACAACAGTGTCATCACATCTCATCGCATTTGCATAATTTGTTACCAATGCTGGACTAGGTTATGGATTTGGTTCCGCAAATGTTCAAGATTTGTGATAAAATTTCCTACAATTATGGTTCATTCCAATCCACGAAATACATGCACAGCTTTATGTGATCTATATGGCCAAGGCAAAACTACCACATAAGTTAATGAATTATCAAGTAAGAACAGGATCAGGGTGTCCACAGAAAATTTGTCATTAATTTCCATGACTTTCCATGACTATCCATGACCATTTACCATCGATTTCCATGACTCACGAACTTTACTCAAATTATAATATAACATACACACACAAATAAAACTGCCTAGATTTCGCAGAAACTACTGAAATATGTATTAACAGACAACAATGGAGTACAATGGTACAACAATGAACTAATACAAACTCAAAAATCATAAAATAATACAACTGTAATAAATTGAATTGTCGAAAATTTGTGAAAAATCCTAAAAATGCTACAGTAGTCGGAGTTACGGCGGACTAGAGCATTGAATAGTTCCCTCAAATCATCCATCATGGGGAATATCCATGACTTTCCATGACCTTTTGCCTATTTCCATGACTTTCAATGACCAGAATTTTTTTCCATGACTTTCCATGACTATCCCTGACTTTCCAGAATGTGGACACCCTGAGGATGATTACATACATGGGTCGATGTGGCAAGAGAAGGATTTAAAATTGCTGAGATCAAAGTAAGAATGTTACTGCTTTCTGGAGAATCAGATATTTTTATAAAAAAAAGATGAAGATTTACATCTTTTAAGATAGTAAATCCGGATACAATCTGAATGATTTTCCTAAAGCAGATGGAATTAGTGGTTAGTAATAAATATTTACTCTTTCCGTAACATGACAGACTAATTATATGAACTCATTCTCCCATATAGTGAAAGTGGCTTTGGTATGAAACAAACTCATCATACTTGGGAATAACGA